TTCTATAAGTTTGTAATTACTGCAAATTCAAATTTTGATAAAATGTGATTAATTTATTCTTGCTTTGATATTAAACTTTGTTTAGTTGTTGAATTGTTAGCGTCGAGTTACACACGTGTGTGCCGTTCATTGTATTTGCTACTGTTTCTTTCAATAGTCGTTTCTATTGTTTGCATTTTGGAGGTCCTCTCGTACCATCAAGTTTGATTATTGTATTCCCATCATAAAGACGACAAGAAACGTTTTGATTTCTTTCATGGTTATTCTATTTTCCGTTACTGTATTAAATGATGCTTTTGTGAGTTGCAGACGATAGGTTTTCTTTCACATGAAAATAATCAAATGTCATCCGTAAACATCTGTATTGTTGTCACCTTTGTAGGAAAAATAACTGGACAAGAAACGATTATTGAAAATTTACAAATATAAAAGTTTCAATGAAAATGTCTCAAAAAAAATATCAGTTGTCTATGCCAATATTCGTTTCAAATCTATCATATTACATTTAATTGGATACACATTTTTAATATGTACGTCAATACTTCGTATAGTGCGGTTTTTTATTCACTGTAGTACGGTTTGAAAATTTCAAAATAAACTACATTTTAATTGAGCAAAATAAAAACAAATTCTACAAAAAATATTGTTTCATTTCCTGTATATATAGACTTCTATATATTTTGTATATTTTTTATGCCGCACTATGCGGGTATTCCTCTAGAATATTTATTATATGTTACTACATAACTATTGTTTTATACCTCTGTTACTAAATAATTCTAATTTTACGCAAACATTATTTACAATTGTCCTATTTTCTTTAAATTGAAAGTCATTAGTTTTTTTTTTGCAATTAATGCTTATCCTTTTTATATTAATGCATTAAAAATAAATATATTATTTGAATAATATAAAAATTGAAACTAATAGTATCTTATCACATAATCAATGATTTATATATGTTATAATAATGTAGTAGTTCATTATTAATTTTCTATATATATGTAGATTTATTTTTATCTCGCTTAATAATTATTTTACTGCATGAATTGCAATTGATGCTTAGAAAAATAATTCAATACTCGTTTGGATAATTATTTCTCAATATATAAACCAATTAATAGTCGCCACGAGGTCGGAACGGACGGTGCATGAGTATAAAGTATATTTAGAAGTAAACAAATAGTAAACAATTATTATTCTTTTTGTTCAATTATCCTTTATGTTCGATACGCCGATCAAACATTTGCAAGTCACTGATGCGGAAGTAAAGAGTAATTAACATAATCCATTTCCTTTCGATTCAATGCAGTCAACTCTGCTCAAAAACAATACTTGGATTTAATTTTCTGATATGTTTCATTGTCAACTTCGAAAACTATTTTCGTCGCATGTGAATTTGTATAAAAAATTGTTTTCGATGCCCAAATTTTTGCGTATTTCAATAAAATCATGTACAAAAATAAGTACAATTTGGAATAATATTTACAATACAATACGTAGAAAATGACATAAAATAACTTCACTTAGTATAAAATTAAGTTGATAGCCTACATCTTATTTACCTGGTTATTAGATAATCTGTTAGAAACTGATATGAAGTTCGACAATCGAGGAGTTTCTTGTGATTTTTTTTGTAAATTAAAAAAAAAATGTGTAGTGCGTTTTATATGTACGAATTAGTTAATGTAGGATTGTTAAAAATCGAATCTTAATAAATGTGTTTTCTTTATATTTAATATGATTTTGTTATGTTTTATTTTTAGATGAATGTCCGCGTGACGACGATGGACGCGGAACTCGAGTTCGCGATCCAACAGACCACGACTGGAAAGCAACTCTTCGATCAGGTGGTGAAGACCATCGGTCTCCGGGAGGTCTGGTTCTTCGGCCTCCAGTACACCGACTCCAAAGGAGATCTGACCTGGCTCAAGCTGTGGAAGAAGGTACGAATCTTTATTCAAAAAAATAACCCGCACCTCTATTAAATCATGTAATTTATGAGCTAGCGTTTCGCTAAGGTCGAAGGTAAACTTATTATATTCGTTTGATTATAGGAATTTAAACATAAAATTAGCATTGGTTACTTTGTTGGAACTTTAGCAATAGTCCTTCAATAAAAATCAGCACGTAAATCTTACATTTGAAAATATAACTTTTCTCGCTAACACATACCTTTCCTTTTTACGAAAATTAGTTTTTGCTTTACAAAATAAATATTTGTATTTGTTTTATAGGAATAAAGTTTCTTATGAATATGAAAATTAGTGAATTTTAACCACATTCTTCATCAAATTTATATAGACTTGTATAGTTTTGAGAGCCAAAATAAATTATTTGATGATTTATCATTTGGCAAAATGTTATGTTTTTATTAACGGGTAATATTTTTATAAGCCAGTAATAAAAAGTTTACAATTCTCTTATTTCTTTTGAGAATTCCCAAATTGCATTTACTAGAAAAAAGAAAACAAACTTTTCCTACCGTATATAAACTTTAGAAATTAAAATTATAACTTTTTCGAAATAAACTAAATTAGGCCTAAGTCTTTTATAATAAAGATAATTAAAGTCTCAATTACTTAAAATAAATTTGGTCATATTTATAAATATTTGTTGATAAAATTATATTTTCAAAGAATATTCAAAACTAGAGGAAGTTTACAATAAATAAATTCTGGCTTATATATTTTTATGTACTTAAGAAGTAATCTTAATTATAATGTTTAAATTGAGTAATATTAACTAAAAATGGTTTATGATTAATAGTAAATTATTTTAAAAGATATAATAAATATGCAGTAAATTTGATAAATGTGATAAAGAGTCATGTCTTTCATATATTATTCTATCCCGATTTTGATATAGTTTGTAGGTCGAGAGAAAGCTCGGTTCGCAAAAGTGAGCAAAATACGCACGTATGTTTGCGCATTAAGAAAGTTTGCAAACATTGTTTCAACGTTAAATTTTCGTTACTTCCAAAAACGAAAATTATTGCATCATTTATCATAAAGCGAATTTGATAAATAATTTCTGTTCATATTGCGGTTAATACGCGTAGTTTAATGTTAGGGGAATTATTAACATTTATTTATAATGTGAATCAGACATTCTCTAATCATCAGTTGGTTGACTCACACTGCTGAAAAATGAAGATAATTTGTATTCCTATAACATGACTCGTTTTGTTGGCGTTGCCTATCGATGAAGTAATCAACTTCCAGCGGATATTTCCGTCTTGATGTTCATCATCTGGACCATCCATTAATATTAGATGTGACGCAAATTATTCGGAAATTCGAATAACACGTTATGTATGTGTGTGCATATGGCTGTATTTTAATGCTTTTTTAAATGATCCCAAAGAGAAGGTCTGGCAGATTACGTATGCACGTTTTTTAAATTTATCGTTTTTCATTATGTTTGTAAAAATAAACGGAATAATGGCAAACATCCTTGACACCCTTTAACCACATGCATGTAAATCCCATCGAGGTGCATGCAAAAATATAAGAATAATCGATACAAGTATGGGAAAGAAAACGCTAAGAAAATTTGTTTCGCTGCAATTTGCAAATTGCTTTCAACGTTTCATTATTATTCAAATACAGCTTTATACAATAGCAAATATAATTTCATGAAGAATGGAATTATCAGAATGGAAATTGAAGATGTGGAAAATTACAGTCGAATTATATCAAGAAATATATTATTTTTATACTGTTTAATCAGTATTTATAATTAAATAAATAATCGGTTTTTATAATATCAATATATACTGAATAATAAAGTTTTTCACTCTCATTTGAATTATATATAAAAAATTAAACAGCTCAATTAAAATTTAGTTTGTCTTTGCATTTTTAAACAGTGAATCTGCTCTGATCGAAGCTGCACTATGCGATGTATTTCTGTAATGGAAATTTTTATAAAATGCAATTTGATACTGATCAAAATATTAGAATAAACAGATACATAGAAGTAATCTGTTAAACTCATTCATGTTTATTTTTATAAATGTATGATCTGTTAACTCTTATAACTGAAAAAAAATACAAAGGTTGATTTAATATTTCTTGTAAATAAGTCAATATTGAACCTTTTAAGAACGTCTGCAAATTTTCTTCGTACACTGATAAAATTGATAAAAAAAAATCAATTATTTCATAAAGTGTGTGAATTCTGATATTTATTACTTATTTAGCTTTTAAATTGAATAACTGATATTGAATTATCCATACAAAAGCACAATCAATTAAATTATGGTTATTTCGTTGTTATTTATTTCTTACAAATTTATTAAAGAAAATATATTTTTAATCAGTAATACAATCAATGAATGATAATGTTCCTAAAATTATATCAAAGTTTGATGTTTCATTCGTTAAGAAGTTGATATATTTCATATAATATTTTTTGTAAAAGAAATATTTTCTTGTTTCTGTACAAATCGTTTTTTGAATTATCCATAAAAAAATCTCATTTTAAACTTTATTTCAATTAAATTATGTTTCTTTCGTTGTTCTGTTATTTATTTCTCATAAATTTGTTAAAGAAAACATATTTATAATTAGTAATGCAATCAATGAATGAAAATGTTTCTAAAATATCAAAGCTGGACGATTCTTTCGTGAAGAACTTGAAATATTTCAAAGAAATATTTTCTTGTTTCTGAACAATTCGATTTTTTAATTATCCATAAAAAAAATCTCATTTTAAACTTTATTTTAATAAAAATATGCTTATTTCGTTGCTGTTGTTTATTTTTCATAAATTTGTAAAAGAAAACATATTTTTAATTAGTAATACAATCAATGAATGAAAATCTTTCTAAAATTACATCAATGTTGGACGATTCTTTCGTGAAGAACTTGGAATATTTATATTTTTGTAATAGAAATATTTTCTTGTTTCCTGTACAAATCGTTTTCTTGAAGATATGCAGAAATTGCAGAAAAGACGGCGGTTTTAATACTGATGAAACCGAATACGTCTATTTACTCTGAAACGTGATACACGATTGTCCTTCGGTGAGGTTGAATAGATGAGAGCCTCTCCCGCAAGAAGAAAGTGTTGAATATCTCGATATGTATTTGGATCGTCCGACGTAAATGGGTGTCTGCACATTTAGACAGCGTTAACGTTGTGGCCTTTACTACAAGTATCTAAGATGCTAATGGACAGAAGATCACAATTACCAACAGTTCTATCCTTCTGGATCTAATGTCAAACAACAACAACTATAATATTTATAATTTGATAAAATATTTTTATTTTTATCGAAATTTTTCATATAAATTTGACTATTTTATAAAATACAGCAATATAACGGGCTGTTTTAATCCGGACTAATCGATGATCACAAAAAAAAAGAGTTGATGTAGATTAAAAAAAATAAATGTTGTGTACTATTTTCTTAGAATTAAGTTCATTTTGTCAATTCAAAGTTTTGAAATTTTTAAACTTGTTTATAGTGAATCCGAATTGATGAAGCCTCACTATGCGAGGCTGTACATATTTGTACGAATTTTGTTTTTCTGTGACTAGTTCAAGCATCTTTTTGCTATCTATCTGGAATGAAGACGAACTCAGATGCGTATCTATTTATTTACTTCATAATGATGTCATATTTGCATTTGAAAAACATGCGATAAGCAATTACGTTCTGTTTCTCAAAAGCAACATGTTGTATTGTTTTGTATGTAATAATTTTGAAATGATGATTCAATGTATGTAATGTAAGGAACTTTTTTTAATTTCCATAAATTTAACTAAACTCTAACATGTAAAAATAAACTCGACTTTGCAAATAACTTTTAGCTTTCTTAATAAACGCAAATTTGTTGATAGAATTATTAAATGAGGAATTTGTATGGACTTTAGAAATATTATACGGATTATCTAAAAATATGAATAAAATTCAGTCAACAATATACATATTTTCTCTACTTTAATCAAGTCGTTGATAACATAACAATGCTGTTCTGAAATGTGATAATTGCGGAATAAAGGCGCTTTAAATGGCATCAAGTTGCTGTTTGGATGTATATTACCCTTTGAACCAGACAATTATAAAAAAAACAGCCGTTGACAATTGGACCTTATCAAACATGGAAATATTCCTCAGTACATATTAATTGGACTTTCTACCCAGATTTACATCTTTGATTTATTTGATTCATAATAAAAAATGTATTATTTTATTCGAAATAGTATTCAATCTGATTGTAATAATTATATTGGAAATTCGGTTGTAGAACAAAATTCGTTCATAAAGGTTTTTCGAAAACCGAAATGTCTTTTATTTTTGTTCGAGAAACAATGCTTTATGAACCATAGTTTCAACTATATAAGTAATTTAAGAATATAACCATTTGATTTTTGTTTTGATGTTTGTAAACTAAATATGTAAAATGAATTCATTATTTGTGGAAAGATAAATTCTTATAAAAAAATAGTTATGTGGTTTGGGTTTTTTGTAGATTGTATTTCTATAATTCTTTCCGAGTATACATAAATTTAATATGTAAGAACAAGTTTTTTTTTTACATAAGATTGCGATAATTTATAAAGTTGTATTGTTTTAACGTAAATATTTCTTCATTTATTGGATTTGCATCTGCCGCTAATGTAATTTTAGTTTACACACAAGTCCGAATAAAAGTTAATCAATGTCGCGTTTGGTAAACATCGGCAAATGTTTTCAAAAGCATAACCATCTCTACTCCGCGTATAAATAGCGATGCTATTATGTAGGAGCATCTAAGTTGGCGGGTAATAATAATAAATACACTTTTCGAGTGAGCTTTATTTTCGGAAATAGCCGCCAAAACACGAGCAAAAAAAAAAGTAACGGCAAATACGAAAAAAGACAGACAAATTGAAGCGAAAAAAGAAATATATATGTAAAGAAGCAACTGTCGCAGTTGGCCGTACGCGAATTCCATAGGAGTAGAAATAGATGCTACCGTCGTCGAGGTGGTAAATAACTTTCTTTCTGCTGCAGAAGCGGCGGCATCTTGAGAGACCAGAAGCATGGGCGTCCTTGCCCGTTTCTCAGGTTCGCCGACTTTCTAATCTTTCTGAAAGTTTTCAATTTGAATATCGCAGCCATTAGCAGCGTGTATTTGTTAAACTATTAACATTTAGTGCAACCGATATTTCACGAGATGACTCATTTCTGTACGCACACACACACACATGCCTTTTTATTTTATCTCAAATTTAGCACGTGATTCTTTCCCACGTACGATCAGTATTTGCATTCAACATCCCAGGTTGATGATAAATTAATATTGACTTGTTTACTCTTCGCTTCGTCGATGAGTCAGAGGAGGAAGGTGTTCTTTTTTTTTTCCATGTCCACCGTCAATTTTCGTTTCCATTGTATTCCATCCATCTCGAGTTATGGTCGACCGACTATTATTAGATTGTTATGTCACAGGTGTGTGTCTATGTGTGTGCATGATCTGAGGTGGGAGGAAGGTCGTGTATATCCTCGTTTAAGTGTAATTGCTCATTCATAAGAACATTTCGAAATCGATTTTAAAAACCGAGAGATCCGAGTGGAAAGTTCGAAACTGATTCAGAATTTCAACTCGTGAACATCGATGGGAATTGCATCAGTGGAGCGAATGAATAAGAACAGCTTGAACTTGGAGAGAATACAAGAACGATTCGCATTCTCTCTCACTCACTGTGTATTGCGTTTTTATCTAATCGCTACAAATGTTGGTACAATATTTAGATTATTAGCAATGTGTTTCTTTGTAAAATACAATAAATTGCAAGCTTACACACGCATTCATTTGTTGGCTTCACGATAAGCGTATAAGAACGTTAACATTTTCCCCGTAGGTTTAATTGTATTCGTCCACGTATTTTAACGTTTCAATTCATCAGCATTCTCGTCGCATTTCTGCACTGCTTTCATTTAGGTCGTAGTATTATGATTATAGGCATTTTCTTTGTTGCTTTTCTAAAATTGAACGTAGCATTGTGTCGTGGCGTGCATTTTATTGCATTACTCCTACGTTTTATTTTTACCTTCTTTTTGCATGATTTCTCTTCATTTCACACACACGACTTTGTGTTTTTTTTCTTTTCTTTCTGCGGCTTCCGTTTTTTGTGTCCAATTTTGCATGCAGCCGGATACCGCACTGGAGAAGGGTAAAAAATGCTTCAAGAAATTGAAGCGACAATACTCCAAAGGCACGGAGTCCGAGGACTCCGATGAAGATGACATGGTAGGTCTTCGCCGTAATTGCGATATTGTCGTGCTCTCCTCAGGCACGTCGGTATTTCTAATTGATATTTGATAGAGATGAAACTTCGTGCGAGATAATAATTGAATCGAAGTGATTTCTATTTCGATAAAAATTACTCTTTAGATTAGCAGATTACAGTATTTACTAGTAATTAGTAAATTGTACCGTCATTCAGCCAAATGAATGTTGATATTACGTAACTTGTTTTCCTATTTTCCACGTTTTTTTTTTCGAGGCGCAACTAGCTAACTGCAAATAAAATCTTGTGCGTTTATAAATTTATTATCGTGCACAAAAAGAAAACTTGTTTAGACTTTGCGTTATTATAAAGGCAATATTACAGAGAAATAATGGACATATTAGCTTCCAAGGATGCCGTAATGTGATTACTACAATCAATTGCATCTAACTATGTCCTTTGAACTGCTACCTTTGGAGTCTAATATTAATGATTAATGAATGATGAAAGACTTGGCAGAAAGACAAGACCTATGGTCAACAACCCTTTGTATCAGTTGACTTTAAAAAAAAAATATGGAATGATCAAATTGAAATGTTATTTAAAATATATCCATTGTAAAATATCAAATTAATCAATTATTCTCTTCATTTTCACTATTAGTTAAATTTACTTTATTTTAATGATGTATATAATTTAACCTGTTTAAACTGGTTTTGATTGAGATTGATTGTTAGGGAAATGAAAATGTGTACGAAAACCGAAACCGTCCTATATTTATTCGGGAACCGAATTGTATTAGTAAATTGAAAATATCAATTTAATTCATTATTTTTTATGTACACTTCACTTCACATTAACTACATTTTGAATAATAATAAATATGTTTAAATTATAAACACATACTTAACTACGATTAACTTAATTACAATATTAGTATTACGTTATATGAAGTTGTAATGTAATCAAGAATCTAGAAGAAACAGTAAAATCAAGTTTAGTCATCTTTCGAAATACGTTTTTTTTTCGCGTAATACGTTTTTAATGAGTTAGCTGATAAGAGTTTACAACTGAGTCCTTCGACTGAACGTCGTACGTCCATATACAGGCCCACCTTGTTAAAAACTGATATTATTATAAAACGGAGGGGTACGGTATAATCGAGAGTTGAATAAAACATTGTTTGCTCCGTAAGCAAGATAAGTGTTCTTGGAAGTTCTGATATGCGATCATTCTCACTGGAAACGCAATATTTCAAATTTGACTCGAAAATAACTCTATACTTCGCAGATTGAAATCCGTGTGCATCAAACTGTAACCAAATTGTTAACAAGTCACGGACAACCAACTACATTTATTAAAAGGAAACCCGTTTTTTTTTTCAATGTTCAAGTGCAACAATAGTTCTAAAAATGTTACTTCTATGCCGACATAAATCTCAATTTTGACTGAAATCAGAATTTCTTAATGCTTGATTAGCGTTGATCGAATATGCTAAACCGGCGTCTCTTAATTGGTTGCGAAATCACAGCTATCAACTTGTGTCAAATCGATGTGAAATACACTACAAACAAGGTTGAGAAACGCTGGTTTTGCATTACTAATGATCAATGCTAATCAATTATTCAGAAATAAGTAGACTAGAGCTATTGGACAACCAGCATATAACTAAAATAAGCTCATAAAGTTACAGATACATATCAGATGTTAATTTGTACTTGTAAAAATGCTGTCTACTTATTACGAAACATAACAATTAAAATAGCAAATTAAAACTAAAAACTAAAAATCAAAATAAATAGAAAATATAGTTTTTTTTATAACTACTTATTAATAAATGTTCATGTTAGATTGTATCTGCAAATATTTAAAGCTTTCAGCTCATATAATTTATATGATGACGGTTTCGGAAAACTAATGTAAGATCAAGAATAAACTCAAACATTGGATGATAAATTTTTATTTCAACCTTGTATGTTCCGCCTACCGAATAAATTGCGCATACTAATTTACATTACATAATTTATAAAGAGTTGCTGCATTATTCATTTAAAGTATTCGAACATCATATGGCAATAAAATCCAAATAAACGAAAGAGCCTCCAAATTATTGAGCAAACTTATTGTATATTTGCCGTTGTCGTAATTGGCACTCTCTATCTATCTCTTAATAAACTATATACCTTGAACTATGAACGCGTTTATAAATAGGTTTATTATTTTTATTAATTAAAGTTTCATCGAAACATTTATTTTCTTCTCTTTCTCTCTCTACTTTCGTCCAATTGAATTAAAATCGCCTTAAACGAGTTTACATCGTGTTCATTATAGATTTATTTCATTGCCATCACGAAATTTATTTTATTATGAAAAATGTTTTTTCCATATAGGCAACGTTTGTATAACGGATCGGAGAGAGAAGAGAATGCAGGTGTGTTTCTTCGAGTATTCGTGTCAGTGAGAAATGTGCATGTACGGTCTTACAAATATGATGACACATACACACAAGATACGCTCATCACTGTATGTATGACCTAGTCAGAAGATAGAAGGATGCTTCAATGTAGACTGGAAAATTTAAATATGACTAGTCCAGTTACTATATATAGTTTAGCGTATTATATTAACAATCTTAATGATTTATTTATAAAAGACAACTTAAAAATTGTCAAGCTCCAGATGTTTTGCGTGCAAAGGCGTTGCTTCTCTATTATGTCTTGTGTAATAACGTGGGTTGAAAAATAATATTTATTTAAATAAAATTCAATTCTAGTGACAAGTAGTAGTTTTATTAATGAATGGTCAGTATACATAATGATACTTGAGGATTTTTTATATTTTTTGGTACAATTCTAGTCAGATTGACGTGGCAGACTATTATTTTTAGGTTAGGTTGTTGAGTTTTCTGCTTAGGTTAGGTTATTATAAATAATATTTACGTATATTTTTGTCTTTTTAAATATTACTAATTTTAATAAATGACAGCCAATTACTATAATGATATGCTCCAGTGGTTTTTATAAAATTAATATTATGGATATGCATATTAATAACAGTGCATGTTCTTAAAAAATAATTAAAATATTATTTTCTCAAAGTTAATGTTACTCTTGGAACGCATCCGTCCATGATTGATCATTAAAAACTGAAGACAAACAACATTGCATTTGGTAGCGAGTTCAATTTTATCGAGTCTAGATTGTAGTCCGCGCAGTATACTTTGTATCTGTGTGTAAAATGTAATACAGTGTTATTATGCATCGAAATATGTAATTGCGGACTCGCTCACGTGTATCGTCATTACGTGTCTGAAAATAGACAGGAAAAGTAAATAAAACACAATTGATATGTATCATGTACATCAACCAATTTTAAGTAATCAGTGATTTATATTAAAACCGTGATCTTATCTCCATGTTCATGCTATCAATACTTTTGGGATTAGTCAGGGTTTATGCCCTTTTCACAATGGGTAAGAGACCAAGCAGTGGACTATATTTAATCCGGAATTGCAGCAAATCTAATTGCGAATGTATTTGTAACTAATGTTCTTTTTCTTTTGTTGTTGTTGCTTAGGTGATGAGCCAAAATGTCAAGAAAGAGAATCCGTTGCAATTTAAGTTCCGCGCCAAATTTTACCCAGAGGATGTTGCCGAAGAACTCATTCAAGACATTACTTTAAGATTGTTCTACTTGCAAGTGAAGAACGCAATCTTGTCCGACGAAATATACTGCCCGCCAGAAACATCCGTGCTTCTGGCTTCCTATGCCGTGCAGGCAAGGCATGGAGACCACAACAAAACTGCGCATACCCCTGGCTTCCTGGCCAACGACAGACTACTTCCTCAGAGGTAAACCGCAATAACTCTTATATAATGCTCGTTAAAATGCATAGACAAAATATAAAATATTTTTTGGCAGTACTTTAGAATCGACTTTAAGCAGAAGGTATGCTGGATGTCTAACTAACACAGTGTTTTTTTCTTGTATTTGTCGTTTTCTTTTAAACATTGTTTGATTCCATTGGTTTAATTTTGATATGGTTATTGTAATATTTCTTTTTTGCAATGTTTAGAGTTTTGGATCAACATAAAATGTCGAAGGAGGATTGGGAATCGAGCATTACCACTTGGTGGGCAGAGCACCGTGGCATGCTGCGCGAGGATTCCATGATGGAATACCTCAAGATCGCTCAAGATTTAGAAATGTACGGAGTGAACTACTTCGATATTCGCAACAAGAAAGGCACCGAATTGTACTTGGGTGTTGATGCTTTAGGTCTTAACATTTATGGAAAAGATGATAAGTAAGTTGTAATTATAATAATAATGTGATGAATGTTATTTACCTTAAAAATCTCTTCTCAGGTTGACGCCTAAAATTGGTTTCCCGTGGTCGGAAATTAGGAACATCTCCTATAGCGATCGCAAGTTTATCATCAAGCCCATCGATAAGAAGGCACCCGATTTCATGACGATTGCTGCCAGTGTACGCATCAACAAGAGGATTTTGGCTCTGTGCATGGGAAACCATGAGCTTTACATGAGGCGTCGTAAACCCGACACCATTGATGTGCAGCAAATGAAGGCCCAGGCTAGAGAGGAGAAGCAGGCCAAGCAACAGCAAAGGGAGAAGTTGCAATTGGAGATCGCTGCCCGCGAGAAGGCTGAGAAGAAGCAGCAAGAGTATGAGGATAGGCTCAAGACCATGCAGGAGGAGATGGAGAGAAGTCAAGCGCACTTGCTCGAAGCTCAAGAGATGATCAGGAGATTGGAGCAACAATTGAAGGAATTGCAAGCTGCCAAGGAAGAGTTAGAACAAAGACAGAACGAATTGCAGAGTATGATGATGCGTCTCGAAGAAAGCAAAAACATGGAAGCAGCCGAAAGGCAGAAGTTGGAGGATGAGATCATGGCGAAGCAGATGGAGGTCAACAGAATCAGAGAAGAAGTGGAGATCAAGGATACCGAAACTAAGCGGCTCCAAGAGGAGGTCGAGGAAGCCAGACGCAAGGAGGAAGAGCTCAAAGTGCAACAACTGGCAAATGCCGCCAAGGGACATCTCGAAGAAAACCAACACGACGAAGATGATGAAATCATCAATGGCGATGTTAGCAAGGATCTGGACACCGATGACAATATCGTCGACCCGATCTTGGATAGACGCACCCTTGCTGAAAGGAACGAACATTTACAGGATCAACTTTTGGTAATTATTTGATTTGCATTTATGCGAAGAAACCAAATAATAATCACTTACAAATTTTCAGGCTTTGAAGCAAGATTTGGCCCAATCGAGAGATGAATCCAAAGAAACGGCAATGGATAGAATACACAGAGAGAACGTTCGTCAAGGCAGGGACAAGTATAAGACTCTTCGTGAGATCCGCAAGGGCAACACCAAACGTCGCGTCGATCAATTCGAGAACATGTAAACAGATCGAAGACGCAAATCAGTTCATTATCAACCCTATATACATCAACAACAGTTTCACTCGCCAAAAAAAGCAACACCTTCAAATCTCCTCAAACAGCTTAACTTTTTTTCACAAAGTGCTTAAAAAAGAAAGAAAGCTGCTCAGTTGATAATATTTTTTTTTGAAAAAAGTACATTTTTTATTTCATTGGTATTACAGCTGTAAGATATGTAAGCTTGTGCTTTAAAAGTGACCTTAAGTACCAATTATTTTTGACTCTTAACTATATAGGCTTTTTATTTTTTTTGCACGTTTTTGCTTTATTTTTTTATTTTTCTTAACAAACTGAAAACAGTTTTCCCCGCCGCCGTCCAATAGAAAGAAAGAAAAACACTACGAAAGAAAACAATTTAATTGAGTGATATTACCAGCAAATTTATCTTTTTTCTCACAAGTAAGCATTCCACTAAGTTAGTGCCATCCCAAAAAAAAAGTAAAGAAGAGAATGAAACAATGAAAGGAAAGGAAAATCGAATTACGTTTATTTGTTTTTTTTTGTTTTGGTGCTTCCTTGTAAATATAATAAGATTATGTTTTTTTTTTGTTTCATTAAATTACATTTAAAATTGTTTCTGTTGTTGAATGTAAATACTAACAAGTTTCTGCCATGTTGCCTTCGAGAGAAATACAATTGATTTATGTCTTATTTTTGTTTTGTTTTTCGTTTTGTTCACTCTATATCTCTATTTTTTTTTCTTCGTTCGTCCTCAATGTATCATCATTACTTTTTTTGGAAATCTTATAATTTGTATATCTAATTAGTTCAATAGGTATTATTTTATTTTGTAATTCGGATGCCTGAGTATATAAATATTAATCGCATACAATATTATTGATTCTCCCAACAAAATCACCAACGAAAAGAAAACCCACATCCCCTTTACCGCTCCATTGTTTTTATCGTATTATTTTATTGATTATTTTTGTTTTAATTTCCGGTTAGGGCCTATACACAAGATATAAGAATAATAATAATATTTGAACATTTTTTGTTTAGCGATATTTCTTTCTGTTGAAAATATTTTTATATAAATATATTTATATTACATAGTTTTATATACAAATATATATACCGTCAATTTGTATATTCTCCTATTAAACTATTTGTAGTAACTTTTGATATGTGAGAAATTGAGAAAAAAAAGAAGAAGTATTCTGAAATAGGTTTTTATTTTATTTTTCTCTTTCATTTAATATTGTATTTTTAGGGTAATTATTATTAATAAAATGTAATTGGAGACGTATTTATTTCTCCTGCACCCATTTTTTTATATACTCTACACATATATATTAACATTGTATTAAGCTTTTTGGAATAACTTTTTATCGAGGTACGATGGTATAACTTTCTATTAACATGTACAGTGTTTATCTTTTTTTTCCAACTTTTTTAATATTTACAATACAATATAATTAAGAAAATTTATCGATTCGTTTCAATTTTCTTATCAATTAGTTTGTTAACCTTAGTATTTGTTTACTATTTCATATAGTGAATATCTTTCGTATATACAACCTATTTTATCATTCATTTTGGTTTTTTTATCATTGATAAAATATAAATTTTTCATGATAACTATTTGCGCTGTTTGATCCGTTTAGAACGCATCTTAGTAAGTAGGCTATCAACTCATCTTCAATTTTATAACTTCATAGGACAGTAGTGAATCGACCTTACAGAAAGAGGTCATAAAATGCTGAACATTTCTTGTCGACGGAAAATCATGTGACTTCACGATTTGGGAAATCAATATTCAAAAGAATAATAGTGATTGATACCAAAATATATCAATCACCAATTCTTCAATTTTAGAAAAAAAAATATATTTTATATCCGAAATTCCAATGGGAAACTATAACTCAGTGTTATATTTTGTTACACTTTCAAAACTATTTGCTCGTTGCCATTTAGCTTTAGTTTGTAAATAATAAATTTATTTAAGATTCCGCAACAGCAACCAAATTAAAATTCATTAAAGTGAAATGAAAATGATGACGATAATTGCTTTGAGATAACCGTTTACTATAGACGAGAAGTTTGTAAAGACTTGTATCTTAGATGTACGACAAATGTTTGGGAAAAACCATTCCAAACCATTAAAAAATAATACTCTGACATTATAATTCAGTGGACTATTCGAGATGATTTGCGATGCAATTCAAATTTTGTGATATGCTAATTTGGTTATTCAAAGAAGTATCTTGACTAGTATTTTCAAATATGTACAAATGTTTTTATACAGAAAAAAGCTGCATTATTTACTATACTTTCTATTATTTAACTAATTATTACACTTTTTTACATATTCCGAAGCTATTAATCAATATATTAATATGATTAAATGAAAGCTTCACTAAAGATTGCGAAAGACACAAAAGTATCAGTTTTATAATAAATTTTGTTCTAAAAATTGTCACATAAATTTTATTTGTCAAAAAATCATTTTTTACAAAATATATACAGCAATACCTCGCATAGTGTTCCGCCAATATTCCGGACTTTTTGAAACCGGACTAATTCAGGACTTTAAACTGCATTAAAATAAACAGAGACAAAAAGAGACTTGACTGTAGCTGTGTTCTTTCAATATTTTCTAAAATTCAGCGGCTACGTGATTTAGGTCCAATTTCTTGCAAAAAAAGTATTTTATAATATTTTGTTATAAATAATTATAGTTAACTAAGTTTTTTTTAATTACTGTGCGAAATATTTCTAATATTTTCGTAGAAGCAAAATGTATAAAAAAATGTATAATAAAACAAACATACAATTGTGTACTATTTTTTTAGAATTCATTCTTATTCATTCTTTCATTAACTTAGATTATTTTGAAATGTTCAGTTTCAATCACTTTTATATAGTGCACATAATTATTATTAATGATTGTTATTAGATTTATAAATATGATATCCAGATTAGGAATTAACTTCTTTCAAAGTGAATGTGAAATCTTTATCTATTTACCAATAAAATAAATATGTTAAAATAATTGATTCAATTCATGATTTATTGCGTGTTTGTTATATTGTAATTATTTCCGAGTATTTGTCAACATATTCATAGGTATTTTCTATAACTGCACATATTTACTAATGTAAATAACTTAAAACAGTTGCTAGCCACTAATCATTATGACAAAGGTCGAATGACGTACATTTGTATATATTTTTAATTGCAAAAAGAATACAAATTTTATGTTACAAATTAATATATTTTCTTATTGATGTAACATTGTAAATTCTAAGAGAGAACAAAAACAAACAATAATTTTCTTACACTTAAAATTTATGTGACAATTTTTAGAACAAAATTTATTAAAATAATTTAAAAAAATTGTTTATTAAGAAAACAGAATAAACAGAGGAAAATAAGAATATATGAAAAAATAATACGTGCAATATTGTCATTATTTGTATTACATAAAAAAACATTTTTTTTCTAATAAATCCATTAAGTCTCAAATTTAATCCATCGTGTAATATCAGGAAAATGGTATGAGTGTATTATTTATAGACATATCAATGATCTGTTCCTTGAAATATTTGTAATCATTGAGATATAATCGATTTTGTACAAAAATAAAAATAATTTTGGCTCACATTTTAAGAAATCTGAAAGTACATACAAATTCTTAAAAATATTGAAAGTTTAGGAAATAATTCGTCGAAAATCGTTTATAGGTGATCAATATTCCGTTAGCTTTTTACAAAATTCCAAAAAGTTTCCATTTCGCTGATGAATTCGGTTTCACCTCGCTATGATTATAATACCAGTACGTGCACACAATACCAAATAGAAACGGTAATTTTCGACTTTTGAAAAAACAAAGTTTTAAATTTTACGAGAATCGCGAGAAGTCACGATATCATAAGAAATTGTAGTGAAAAAAAAATGTTGATTTACAAAAATATTTTCAAATTTTAAAAGTTTAATAACGCTAATAATGAACATATTTGTTGTTTTTTATTCTTTGAATTTTTAAAACAATTTAACCCGTTATATTATAGAAGCAGAACTATATTTTTTGTTAAATTACCGACAATAAAAAAATAATAATTACTCAGAAATAACGTTAAAACTCTTAGAATAGACATTGAAATTACTTATTATCTTATAAAATAAATATTGTAATAACAGAAAACGATTCGACAATTTTTCTTCAATAAAATATCCAAATAATTTATGTTTTTTCGTAATTCATTACTTTTATATAATTTATAAGCTAATTTTTATATAAAATTTGGAAATGAATCAAGAAAATTTTCATAATAACATTAAATAATATAATCCACTTGAAATATGAATCAATTTATTGAATATAAAAGTAATAATAATAACTATTTCTGCCTGTTAAAAAATACTTCCACTATCAATAACGAACTAATTTAGTACATTGTGAAATGGATAACAATATGCGACAAAAAAATAATGTAGAAATGTATTCCAAACGAGGATAATCGAATTTTCAATGTCATTTTTTCTCAATTTGTTAGCAGTTTATTAAAAAAACATACCAATTCAATATGATGAAAGAGAAACTGGTTTAGATTCAATTATATTTGTTGGAAAGTTGTTATGAACTTAATTGCAGTTTGTATATAACCAATGCATTATGTTTTGCCAATTTGTCTCTTATTTTGTGAACAAGTTTTCATAATTGAAATATGTGAATAAGTGCAAAAAAAATAAATTAATGAATGTTTACAACAAAAAACTTAATTTAATAAAAACAGTTAAGTCTCTTGAAAACCATAAATGTATTTATTTTAGATAGTAATTTTAAAATAATATGTTTATTTTTTAAAATAAAGCCCTTAAAATTTTATAGTTTAACAGAGAAAAAATAAGCGTAAAGTAATTTATTTGTAATGCAAACAGTAAAAATTTGACCTTTATTTTCTTTCCACAAAAGTATCAAATTTATAATCAGGGTTTCTTATTCACATGCTTTAGCAATTGAATGGCTTCCATATAATTCCGTATAACTTAATAAATTTGTAAATAATAAAACAATTTCATTAAGTCACAATAATTTATATATTCATTCATTTCTATCAAGATTTCATTAACAATTTACGTAGTGTATTTATTGAAAACTAATAGATTAAAGATTAAATAACTAAATATTACTGTAATTGGATTTGAAATAGATATTCTTACAGTTTATTGAATTAAAAGAAAGGATATTAATTTACGAAATTTAGAATTCCTCTATTCATTTAAACATATTCTTATGAACCCCAAATTTTCTTGAAGAACCTAAAAATTCTCGTGGGTCTATTCTTAAAGTGCCTAATGGTTAAGACGACCCTGTTTGCAAGAAACTTATTTTCAAGAAATAACACTAAATTTGTTTTTATCTTTACTAATTGGTATAGAAATATTACTTGTGTTTTGTGGTTTATATCGTAATAGAAACGATTGTCAATAAAGACTAGATATTAAATAATTTATATTATTCATGATAGTACAAATTAGTGATTTCTTGCTGTTTCGTTTACTTTTTTTTTAATAAAAATATTAGCAAATGGGAGGTGACTACACTCCGGAATAATCATTTCAAAATGTTAAATTTTGTGTTTTTTTTTTCATAATAAATATTGTTTAAAAATGCCTGATAATTATGCATAAGTTAAAAATTTGTATTGTTTTGTATCGCGACATAAAGGCAATCACAAGCGTTTGTTAGAATGATTGTATAACGATGAAGTGTCAAATCACACTCCAAAACCTAATATTCACTAAAAAAAGCAAATGTTGCGGTCCAATGCTGATTTTTTCCACTTCAGCTTCATGAGTCCTGGTCAATTGATTACGACGAATGCCTACTGTAACCAAATAGACGAAATGAAGAGGAAGCTTGGGATTAAGCACAATGCTTTAAGCACAATGTTTTTCAAACTACAGAAGCTGAATTTGTAAACTACCTATTCCCCAGACTTTTCACAAACCGACTACCGTTTCTTCCAGGCTTTGGACCACTTCTTGCAAGAAAAAATATTTAATTTCCAACAAGCTTTCGCAATTCTATCATCACTTCTTCTTCGCTGCCGGTTTTAATAATCTACCGTCAATTCTGTGAGTGTAGAAAGTTTGTTGATATCGTGGTAAGTAGCAATCTCCGGTAGTGATACGATCTCCGGTTCAACACTTGGTGGAGTAAGAGCAGCGAGAAAATATTGCCTCCATTTGTTGTCTCCGTTTTCTAGTGGACAATTTGTTGACTTGCGTAGAACCTTCTTATCTTTTTCCAAACGTTAATGTTTCCCTACTCGCAGAAGCTCTAGAAACTGATCTTCTTCTTTTCCTTCAAAACTCTTTTTTTTTACCGCCATCTGGTGTTTTGCGACTAGTTTAAGCGCATACTTTGGTTAATTCTACAGCTTCTTGTTTGAGATATAATAAACCAAACTTTTAGTTCGAAATTGGATTTATCTTTT